AGCGCCGCATTGTAGTATTCGTTTGCCGAGAAGGGAAAAGGGAAAAGGAAAAAGGGAAAAAGAAAGAAGGAAAACAAAACGGTTATTGATAGTATGGACCATCTCTTTACCTTTGCCCTCTTTGCCCTCTTTGCCCTCTTTACCCTCTCTCACTCTCTCCCTCTCTCTTCGAACTAGATTCTCAAGTGAGCAACGAAATGCGAGTAGTACCCGGCCACGCTGACATGAACTTTCCGGCGTGGAATTACCTAGCCAATTAGATCAGAAGGCTGCACCTAGGAATGAACGGCTGTTGTTAAGTTCGAGAATTGAGGCTGTACTTGTCTTGGTTTTTTCAGCAGGGGGGGGCAGACACAAATGAAAATGCTTCATTCTTTCAAGGTAGAGTTAGGTCAAACTTCAGAAATATCTAACCTAGCTCGTAAGCACATACTCCGTACAGCATCGACCATGATACAAAGACGAATGAACATGAGGATGAATGAGAATTCATCTTATTCATCGTTACATTGAGTTCGAAACTACTTCCTTCACCGTGTCAAGATAGGTAGATAGGTACTCGAGTAGAGAGGTAGGTATCTCATAATGCTCACTATCCCATCCTATTCATCCCTCTCTCATATTCTCATCTCCCATCTATTCATCCGTTTTGAATGCTCACCATTGAGGTAAATACCACATAAATACCACATAAATAACAATGTATAACAAATAACATAACTTACATATAACATAACATATAACCTATCACCTAAGTTCTAACCCCGCACCTCAACCTCAACCCCTCAACCATTCATTTATTCAATCCCCAATCCAATCCAATCCAATCAACTGAACCCCCAAACTCTCAAACTCCCATCTATACATTCATCTATACATCCATACATCCATCTATACATCTATACATCTATACATCTATACATCCATCCATCCATTCATTCATTCATTCATTCATCCACACAAATTACAAAACCCCCCTCTCTCCTCTCCTCTCCCATCACCCTTTCCTTCTCTCCCACTCTTTACTTACTTACCTACCTACCTACCTACCTACCTACAACCTTACTCCGTACAACCAAATCATTATCATAATCATCATCACAATCACAATCATAATCACCAGTGACATCCAACCCACACCCACCCACACCCAAACATGCGGCTAAACCCACCACAATACACCACAATACACCACACCCTCTGCCCTCCTCCCCTCCCCCCTCACATCTCACAAACCACCACTATGAGCCGCACGCACGCACGTACACACCGCACAACCCCCAATCCAATCAATCAATCAATCAATTAATCAATCAATCCAATCCAATCCAATCCACGAATCTGCAGCGTGCATCTAATGAGATACCGGTACCTCATCCCTCAAGCGCAACATCGAACGAGCCATTCATTTCCATTTCCATTTCCATTTCCAAGTAAGCATTTGGTCTATTTACCCTTACCAAATGTTTTGAATTACTTTCTTTCTTTCTTTCTTTCTGTTTGTTTTATCTCGCTTTTACTTAGAGATACGTGGGTGTGTAGATGTAGCTAGATATGAATGTATGTAAGATTACACATGATATTCGTTACAGATCAAATAGATAAATAATATCTATGACAATAACTTTCCAAGTAACTCATCACATAAACCGATACACCTAACTAATTCCTCCCTATCTCCCAAACTAACCCCCCTTTTACCACATCATACCACGCGATACATCCCATCCCATCCCATCCCATCCCATCCCATCACAAATCATTATCTCCCTTCCCTCCCCCCCTCAAAAAAAGAATCAAGAAAAGAATTAAACCAAGTTAAACATAACCAGAACCAGAACCACAATCTCCCTCCCCTCCCCTCCTTCCTAAGGAAACCTAGGGAGATCAAACCCCAACCCCAACTCCAATCCCAACTCCAACTCCAACTCCAACTCCAATCATCCCACCCAGTGTACCACTGTACCACTGTACCACACAAAATAACGAGTGGGATAGTAGTAAAGTAATAAATAGTACGCGAACCTCTTAAATCAAACAAACTTACGTAGTACAGTACAGTACAGTACAGTACATACAACTTTAAAATTGAGGCGATACCCGCGACTCACCTAATCTAGCCCGCTGCATCCTAAAATTTACCTCAAGGTAACTGAGGCTAAATTGGTTTCAATGGTGATTGTCACGTTCCAATTCCAATCCCATGCAGATAGATCATCTACACATGTTCAACAATTTTTTGGGTTTAAAATTTTACGAATTTGAGGCTTACATACAATACAATGCAATGCAAGCTTACAACATGCATATGAACCCTGAACGCCATTGCCGCCTCCAACTAATGCTCCAACCCAAACCGTCATTATCCGATGCCAACCAGAACTCGCGCATGCCTCTCATTGCAATTTATCAATATAGATTCTATCTCTTACTTGATTCCTTGATGTTCTCTTACTTCCCTCCCATATGCTCTTCTCCCCGAACAAAGCTCGTACTGTACACATCTCCCCATGCGGCTCCTAAGGCCATTTACATATGTTCGATAGGTTCTTCTCTAAATCTGTAAATCAGCAATTTCCCATACAAAAAGTCACTCACGGGTACCGATGACAGTTGCAGATATACAAGACAAAGAAGAGGAGTTCCGATCAAGATATAATGACGGGTGGATGATATGAAAATTTAAATTGAACTTACGGCAAGAGCTCATCCACATCACGAACGACACAGGACTTCAAAGGAGGTCGGACAAGGTCGTTGAACAAGAAAGTTCCGTACACAAGTAATACGAAGCCAAGAACTTGTAACCACTTGAAAGTTTCCCATCCTAGAAATAGTGATACAATCCAAATAAAGAGTGTACGACAAGTGTCGATGGTGGACCTAGATGTGGCGCTGACTGTTCTGGTTACGGAAAGTCCAAAGAAATTGAAGCCACTGAGCGGGTTAGCTAGAAAGAAGACATAGATAGAGTGAGGAAAATTACCCGATGCTAATCATGATAAGCACACTTGAGACTCCAATGGCTTTGTAGTGTGTAATTTGTCTCCATCCTTCAACAAGATCGAAGTATCCATATCTTCCCGCTGCGGTTCTACCGACTGCAAGATGGAGAATGATCATACCGAAAATCGTAACTCCAAACCCGAAAAGACCCTCCCAGCCTACAACCTTGAGAGGTTCCAGAGCATAATTTTCCAGAATGTACTCCTCTAAAACGAATTGAGAAGCAGTAAAGATTTGAGCGCCCGCAATTAGAAATACCCCAATAATAGCGCGTAGGGCTTCTGGTGTTCTGGCTTCTCTTGCGGCTAGCTTTAGTGCGTCGTGTACAAGCGCTGTTGAAGACGGCGCAGCTTTGTCGTCCTGGTAAAGAGCTCCAGCCAGACCAACAACAGCGACTCCAAGGACAACAGTCACCAAAGCGAACCATTGGAATAAGTGAAGCCTTCTTTTTAGAAAGAGTACACTGAAAATTCCAACAAAGAGCACCAAAGCCCCTCGAGTCATTTGGTAAATTGAGGGGACTACAAACAAGAGACCGACGTTCACTAAGAAACGATATTAGTAACAGCAAGGTAAATGTGACTTGTGGACACAAATGCTAATGAATGAAACATTTGGAACGTGGACTACTCACTCAAAGTCGTTCCACAGATATCACAGATAGCGGGTAAGGCCAACAACAGCACTCTCCATCCCACCAATGGTAACCTGTTTTCATCCGCATCCATTGCCTTTGCAGTCGAATTTGTCAAGATGCTCGCTCCATCGTTATCTGCGGCCTCTCCTTCATTTGTATCAACTGCTTCATAACCATTCTCTTCGGGCTTTGCGTTCTTTGCGAAATAGCGGCGATAAAGAGAGAATGCCCCAACAAAGAGCCAGCAGCCCATTTCTCCAACGAACATTTGAGCCGTTTGTATGACCGGTTGTTCGAATAATGCTCGTTTCTTAGGATCGGGATTGTCGCAATTCCGGACGCAAACATTGTCCTAGCTTATGGTTAGCAGATAACAGAAACAAATTTGAAGCGTATACTAACTTGATATTTTGTGAGAAGTGTATTGCAAACTCCCGTCACCAGCATCATGGCTACCAGGAACGGTATGAGCACTTTGGGGCTGATCGCCATCTTGACGATATGTGATGGACAGACCGACGGAGGCGTATGTGTATCTAGATCAAGGAACCATTTAGTTTGACAAAACTACAACTAATCGCAAATTGTCATTCACAGGTCTAATTTCCTTATGTTGCAATGCGATGAAATAAATCGAGATCAGAATCCGATATATTTTGTATTTGTATAATCCGTGGTGAGGTTGATTACTCTTTGTCTCATGTCTATTGGGGCACGATTAGGAGCTAGGTTGGAGGCTGGAGCTTAAGGAAGGAGAACTCGGGCGGTGACGGTTTTTGGTTTAGCCGATGACTATCGGAAGCTCACTCCCCTGCTTTCCATCACAAGATCATTTTCTGACTCAAGCCAACAACTGAATCATCAATTACTACGAAGCATCTACCTAGTATCTTTCAACATGTCATAAAGTGCATGAAGTCTATAGTGGAAAGTTTAGCTCAATGATATTAAAATCTAAGTAATTTATGAATCATCCATTGTCACATCTCATGTAGGTAGGTGTAAAACAAACACCGACGTCAAGAATCACCACCTGCTAAGAAAAGCATTCGAGCGTTAATGTATATATAATGAAGGAGGGAAGATGTCTTTTTTTGATTCCGTAATGCGTCTTGAATCATGATACATGAATGTACAACTACCCATTACCCCTAATATCCCATGGGCTATTCAGTTTATACATCAAATCGGGTCGTAAAACATAGACACGTAAATGCTGACCAGCCAATTCCACTCCCGAGTATGTGAAAGAGGTAAATGAAAACGGATTATTGATACACTGCTTGTAGAATTGAATTTTGATAACTTTTACGCCGCCCAATGCTAAATTTTAGATTTTGTACTCCGACCCTATGCCTTATTTACCAGCGGCGGCCGCAGCACCCCCTCGTCGCTTTGGGTTACTTCGACCAGGTCGTTTCTTGTTTTGGTTGCTTTGATCGCTTCCCTCAATGAATTTGAGAAGCTCATCAATGCTTCGCGAATCGAGTCCCCTAGGAGCGTCTCGACCAGCAGCAGCCTCAACAGTTTGGCCGATTTGGGGTTGGACTTGAGTCTGTCCAAGAGTGACACGAGGAGAGACTCGGATTCCTCTGTTTCTGCGGGCTTGAACATCCTTTGCGTGTTTGGCAATTGATACAGCATTTTGAGTAAGCTGTTCAAGCCATTTCTCTGCTTCCTTGGTGTTCTTGTCCTCTGCACCTAACTCAGTAAGGAAGATGTTGTAAGACTCGCGCATACGGTTGACAGCGGATTTGGAGTCTTGATCCAATGCCAAAGCTTGAGCCAATTGGAAGAGCAAGGTTGCAGCATTAATAGAATGCTTTCCGTAAACCTCCTCACAAATTTTGAGGGATGCTTCAAACCATGTGCGAGAATCGTGATACTCCTTCAAGTGTTGCAGCATCACTGCAGCATTGTTGATTGTTGTGATAGAGTCAGGATGGTTTGGACCATAGACAACCTTCCACAAATCCAAAGCGTGCTTGATGTATGTCAAAGCCAACTTGGTCTCTCCACTCGCGTGTGCAATGAGTCCAAGGTTGAGATAATTCAAAAGTGTCTCAGCATTGTCAACACCTAACGTTCTCTCGGAAACTATAACAGCCTTGCGGGCGAGTTCCATAGCAGCCTCCTTCTCGTCGAGTTGATAATAGAGCATCGACAAAGAGTTGTATACTCTCGCCACTTCAGGGTGAAGAATGCCATAAATCTGCTCGTGTAATGACAAAGATTCCAAGAGTAATTCTTGACCTAGCTTCTTTTGGTCTTGTAGAAGAGAAATACGTCCAGCCTCTAAAGCTTCTTCTGCAAGGGAGCTTCTTGGAGACGCCTCTTTGATGACTGGGACGGTGTTAAGGATATCATCTCGGTTGAAGGTGACAGGCGATGCGGCATTTGCAGATACAACAGAAGTAGGAGAGGCTTCACGGGCATTCTTCTTCTTCTTCTTGCCGTTGGTGCTCTTTCCGGTGGGGGTCGCGTCCTTTGTGGCCTCGCCATTAGTTGCCGGTGGAGCTGCAACAGCTTCAGTCTGCGATTGCTTTGTGAAATGGTAAGACTTCATCTCCAATTGAATACCAAGCTTCAAGGAAACTTCTCGAAGAAGTTGCAAATGTTTGATACCTGCAGTCCATGTAGAGTCTAGGGTGTAGCGGAAGCGACGGAGAACTTGACCTTCAATCTCTTGTTTAAGACTCTCTGGGGTAACCTCCTTGAACTTCAAATCTGCCTCTGGATAGAGCGCAGCTATGGCCTCATCCACATCTGGTTTTGGAGCTGCGTTCAAATCTGTGCCGAGCAAGCAATTGAGTAGATGCGCAATACATGAGCTCGTCAAAGGAATAGGGAGGTAGCGGAGATAATTGCCAGCAACATGCTTGAATGCTCTCGACACCATCTCTTGAACCGCCAAAATGCGTAGGGATTCGAGTCTCTTGCCATCCGCAAGAGTAGCAACTTGGCCGAGGTATCTAAGATTGATACCACGTTTATGAAGGAGTCTGCTCAAAGACTGTCCATCCATAGGGAAACCAACATCACCTTCCTTAAGATCCTTCACAAGTTCAGGTAACACTGTCTTACGCAAGAACTCACAAACCAATCGAACTTGTTGTTCGTCCTCGGCAAATTCGGCCTTCTCTTCATCAGTTTGTGGCTGCTGTCCACTGAAAGCATCTGGGTTCAATGCAAACTTGAAATCGCCAATATCAATTCTTTCCTGATCAGGCTTGCTGGGTTCTGCAACCTCATCCGATTCGCTCTTCTTGGCCAATTCTCCATTCTCGGTTGGCTCCTCGCTTTTAGCTGGCTCCGATGTCTCAGTTGCAGCTTCGATTTCCTTTCCTTCGGTAGTAGGCTCAACGGTTTTCTGAGCCTGGCGCTTACGTTCCAATTCGCCGTTTACCCATTCGCGCATCTTGACTTTCCAGTAAGATTCGACCAATTCAGGTCGGATAACCGTCATGCGATGTGGATATGCGGATTCACTCGCCGCATCGGCCTCCTTGGGGCTGTCAAGTGCGGTACCAACTTCCTCCATCCAAGTGATGTCCAATGGGGTTACTCTGTACAAATCAAGAACGTACTTTCTTCCGTCAGTACCCAAAAGACCCTTAGTTTCGATACTGCCTTCCAGATCATGACGCTTTGCATCTTTGTCCCAAACTGCATGCTTTTTGACTTTCAAGGCCTTGGAAAGCTTCTCGAAAACAGACACAAACTTCTCATCCGATGCGACAATGTCCTTGCCATCTACTGCACCATAATCGATTTGGTTCTCGCCTGGGTCACGTTGTTTGAATATTCCTGGCACAATACTTTGTCCAACAATACGCTTTCCAAGATAGTCAACAACTACAGTTCCTGGAGTAAACAAGCCGTCGATATCCAATTGGTTGACCATACGGACTCCCATAACATCCTTGCCTACTGCTGCTCTAGCGGCCTCATCACCACCCTCTGAGGCAAAAGTGCCCACGCCGTCGGCTCCAAAGGAGAAGAAAACGTTATTGTAGACGAAAATTTGGGCATCTTTACCTTCTGTTGGGTTAAGAGGAGCTATTTCACCTCTAGCAACTAGAATCGCACCACGAGCTGCGGCATCGTTGTAATCAGCGAACAACTTCGAAGTCAATCGCTCTCGGAAAACACGATCCTGAACGGTGTCTTTTGGTAGTTCTCTAGTAGACTGAAACTCTTCATTCCAATCTCGCAAAGTCTCGCTATTTTCAATACCAGCAATTAAATAATTTTCTTGAGTGCGTGTTATATCAGCTTGATGTGCAACAAGGGGTGCCGTTGCTGATGGTACAATCCAAGGGTTTGAGGGAGTTGCATTTGTGATTTGGAATGTAGCCAAAGGTTCTTTAGTATTGTTGTATTCCTGAAGGCTCTTGAAGGATTCCTCAAATGATGGAGACAAATCACTCAGAAGTGCTAAAAGTGAGTGCGCGGAATGGGCTTTTGGCGCCGATTTTGGCGATGGATCAAATTTTCCAGTTGAGGATTTGTTCACGTAGAAGCCAGATACGTGAGATGTGATCTGGAATTGCTCCCCCTCGTTTGTAGTGACCTGTAAATAGAGCAGATGTCCCTTCTGTCTAAGATGATAGGGTGGGGGATTCCAAGGAGAGACTGAAATTGACTTCACAGTTTTTGGCCCTGGCTCTTGTGCTCTTGGTAGAAGGGTCGAGAGATTGCCGGAGGTTTGGAAGTCAAATCCAACCATTGGATGTGACGGAGCTGTACTCGTGCCGTTTTGACTAGATTCCTTTGATGTAACCGAATCGAGTAGCGAAACTCCTGAAATAATACCATTCAAGGTATCGGTACGATCCCCGGCAGCACCAATAAGCTCCCGCACTCTAATAATATGTATTCTCGCTTCCTTCTCAGTATACGGGTCCTCGACCAAGTGTATTTCTGAGTCCGCCGTCAGGCCAGGGACCTCGGATATCTGAACGAAATCATTTATTCTCTCTCCCTTGTGCTCGAGATGAAAACATGAGTACTGGAAGGTTCCGGGCAGCTCGATTATTGATTGGCGAACATCGTGTATAGCTTCTTGAGAAGAGACCTAGCTATCTGAGCATTGAATCTGCGAATATTGTGAGGGGTTTTCACTCACGATGATCTGAATTTTATGGGGCTCGCGGGGAAGCACCACAGTCAATTGAAAGACTATGTTCTCGCATTAGCATAAAATCTGGATAAGTCTTTGAACTGCCAACTGATCCTACCTTCACCGCCCGCTTCCCCACCATCTTCTTCTTCATGGTCAACACCATTAGTTATAGCAGTTTCTTCAGTGGCAAGCTTTTGCGAGCTGCTTGAAACATCGGTAGGGGTTTCTGAAGACACTGAATGTTAGTGGATGACTCATAATTGGCCACACATTGCAAAGAAAAGATCAATTGAGGTAAAACTTGAGTAAATATGTATTTTGAAGTGCTCTTCGAGTTCTATAAAGTGCTGAGGGTGGCTTACCAGAAGTAGTGTTGTTAACCTCATTGCTTACAGCCATTTTGTACCTTGAAAAGCTCTCTTACGTAGGTATAATACAATAATAAGAGAAGAAGGTACAAATCGATATTCCAACACAAGAAATGGCAGGAATTCAAAAAAGAATTTGTTGATTTTGTTGTACAAACGGAGTGTAGAGAGAAAAGAAAAGAAAACCCCTCTTCTGTTATGGATGAATTATGTGCAAGTGAAGAATAAATTTGTTCCATTTTCTTCAAATCCAAAAGGGAAAGTATAAAATTTAGTTGAATGCACGGAAAAACCCGGCCCGGTCCAGTATTATGACAATCCTTGCTGACATCACCACCGCAACGGCATTTTGTTCACTACATAATACATATACATACCTAGCGAGCCTCTCTCGCAAAAACATCAACATCAACATCAATCAACATCAACCTTACCTTTCTTATTTGCATACAATTTCTAATTTCTTTTGCTATTACAGGTCCATTCTCTAGATTGTTGCTTCTTGCATTCTTCTATAGAATATAATTATCTGCTGCGAGAATTACGGTTCTGTCTCGTCACTTATCGCGCAGAATCCAATCAATACATCGAACTCAACAAGAATCAGTATGCTTGATCCCCGCTTATCTGGCTGGGGTTTGATTAAATTAACGATGCAGACTATAGGTTAATATCATGGAAGAAGGGGATGTTCCACTGGGAACAGAATCGGAAAGCTTCTCCAATAGTTTTACTCCAGTGCGACGCGATAAATCAACATTGAACAACAGCCGACTTGATCAGGATGGTGAGAAGGATTGGACTACAGCTCGATGCAATCGTTTATTACGACCTTTAACTTCTCGAATTGCAATTCTACGTAAGAATAAACAGAGCTCCCTCAATTGTGTAAATGCCCAATCTGAAAAGGGCAAATCGCTCTTGGATTACAACATCGACGCATCAGACGATCCAATCTGGGGTGTTAGAAAGAGGGTCGCTACGACATATAGCTGGAAAGCAACCTGTAAAAGAAGAGACACCAGAGGACCGGGGCGACATGTCAACATCTCAGAGTCTTCTCTGCAGCTACCACCAAATATGAGAGTGGTATCCTCAACTGATCTTTCAACTGAAGATATTGTAGTTCCAACGCCAGTGCTCAACCGAGCATGGAGACCATCTGCACCGTGGAGGCAAACCACCCCGCCCTATCTCCCAATATGGACTGTACCTGAGGATTGCCATCGGAGGAGGCCAAAGTCTATTCTAGCTACGGATGCGCCTATCCGCGCTCGCCCAACAGGTAACAGCGCTCAAGTTTTGAACAAGATGCGGGCTACAATGGGTGCTACTAGCTTTCATACTCTAGAAGGTATTTATAATGGCCTTGATGCATTGCTGAAGGCAACACGTTCTATTACACATAAGAATCACAGAAGAGGACCTAAATCATTGCTATCCATGTGCCTCGCAACAGTACCAAAGTGTATTACCATGGAGGAAAAGCTGTTCTCTAGTGAGATCAAAAATGTAGGTTCTTACTCGGCCATTGAAAAGAGGGATCTTTCTACCGAGACTTACGATGAACTCGAGCGGTATTATGGTGTATCTGATCGGGGCTGGAAACACCTTCGAATTCTGGTTCGAGCTCATGGTGTTCAGATAATTTGCGATGCAATTTTGGAAGGGCTTTTAGAATTCAACTTTAGTGAACTACTCGTCGATCTTTGTATATATTCAGGACATTACGACGAAGCGGAACTATTACTTTCAAGTCTACTTTCAGTATATAAGTCTCCTGCTCCAAACCAAAGAGCTCAAAATCATGCGTTGCCTGGGCCACTGGCAACGCTTCGTAGCTTCGTTGAAGAGACAATTCGTACGGGGTTTGCATATCGGCAATTCTCCTTGTTAATTCAAAATGGAAACCTTCCGCTCCCATGGGTAGCAACATCAGCATTTGCCCCGGTTTGGACTGGTTTGATGCAGGATTTATCATTGAATCATGCGAGAGCAGATGCTACGACGCTCGTGGATGCCGTGCTGCCACGCCTTGTAAATTACGTGTCACTGCCTGACTCCTCGAAGGATACGAGCTTTCATGAAATATGCAGGTCAACATTGTTGAGTGTGCTGACAACGATCACATCTATCATACTCCTCAGTAGGGGTGAAGGGGAGCTTGAAGGCGAGGATGAGTGGGCGATGTCTGAAACCGTGCTCGATAATGAGGGTGCTGGAGAATTACCGGCGGTAATGGACACACCGGTGGGATATTTCACTGAGCATGAAATACAGGGATTTGACCACTTCAGCACCATTAGCAATACACATTTCAAGCTTTTGAAGGATTGCCTCGAGATCGTCGGGCGTAACAACAAGGGAAATGCCCTCAGAAGTACCATTTTTTCCCTGGCATGTCTAGTGACTGAGCCTAATGCAGATGATATCCCAGATCTCATTATCAACTCTCTGTATGAGACGTGTGTAGAAGACGCAGGGAATACAAAGTCAAATATCGAAGCCCCTTTTTCATTTGTCCAGAAGCCGCTGTCTACCTACGATGAGGCTGTTAAGTTTTTAACTTCAGTGGCTCGTTGTTGTGGAAAAGGAGCATCTACCTCTGGTTTCGAATATCTCCAGTATATACATCGGAGACTCAAATCGGTGAATACAGGTAGAGATTTAAAAGCGAGGACTATCTGGCACGGGATTCTTGTGGATAGCGCATTTGCCTTCGCACGAGTGACACCGGGTCAAAAATACCTCGACTACGCGGATTCTATGGACAGCGAGCTCCATGCAGGTGGCTCAAAAAGGCCTGATTCGGCGACAAGAGAGGCTCATCGTGAATCGACAAATTTTAGGTGGGAAGAAGGCATAAGCTCTTGGGTAACAGCAACACCTGCCACCAATATCAACAAAACCAAAGGCATGACTACAGACTGTGAGAACGAAGAAACCGAGCTTGAATCACCTTCAGTTGTCCGCTCACGACGACCTATGCGATTAAGTCGAGGGACAAAGAGGAAACGTGATAGTACTGAGCACGAACAGTTTACCGAACCAGAAATGCAAGCACCATCAAGAACTCAAATGGGAACACGTAGAGGGAACGCCGCATCATTAAGTATCTTCCATAGTAATAGCAGCGATGATGAACTAAGCTCCAGCCATGGATCATTCGAAGATCCTCGTGTTTTGAAAGATATCGGAAACACGGCACCTCGAAGTCGCTCAAAATTCGTCAATACTAAGCGTCAAAAAGAAAATTTACCCACCAAGGATCAATCGTTATTCAGTGAAGATGAATTGGGTATGTGAAACGCCATACACTTCGGCTATATCTCTACATAGCTCAATGAGAAATTATTGCCTCTCGAGACGATGATGTTCCATGCAACGACTATGGGATTTACAGAACAACAGAGCAGACGACGACTACTCTTACTAATTTACCAACTATCAAGGAGCTTTTGGGAAAGTGTGACCTGGAGTTTCAACGGAAGAAGCTGTGACATCGGCAACCTTCATGCTCTGTCTATAATGAGATGAGCGGTTGACAATTAGATCATCAGATTGCTCGAACACGGGTAATATTGCCAAAACGCAACACAAGTCCTCCAAAGGACAACGATGCGACGATTAATGTATGAAAAAGTATTTGCATGCGGAAGGTGCATGAAAGCATAGATGTCTGAGGTTTGCTTGGCGCACGTGGATATGGACGGTTGGATCCATCTGATCTTTGCTGATCACGAAGTCCATCATGGTTTGGGTACAATGCTCGGTTTATCTTGTATACGGTTGGTGTTAAGGAATGTGTTACGCGTCATTTGACAAAGCGTAGCCTTGGTTGGAGCCGCAAAGGATCTTTGCGATTTGGATGTGTCAATGTTACTGTTGGAAACACAGATATTTTTTGACATATTTTAATACTCTAATACAAGCTTATACAATACAAAGGAAGGCTTTTTCCGCCATGTATCTGTGAATTTGTGAGCTGAATTTAATACATTATATTGTGGAAATCTCTCATCTTTATCATATGAAAGGTTACAGATACTCATTCATCAAAGCAGCGGAGGGTCTTCCGGGACTTGTTCCGCCAATTTTATGAGTGGTGGGCGGGACGATCTCCTCCAAGATATACCTTATTTAGAAATTCCTTCGCTGAGTTACTATGAAATTGAATTACAGAGTACGAAGTACATATTTTATGACCTCTTCAATCCACTCTCGAAGTTCGGCTGCCTTACTGGTATGCACTGATGGAATATTTTTGCACCTTGCCCCAGTGTTATGTTCTATTTCTAGCTGTGTATCCATTAGGAGTTCCGTTGTCTCCATTATTGTATCCGGATTGTATGGAATTGTGAATGTGCGAGCGCTCCGCTCGATACGGTATCCATGTAGATGCATGCTATTGAGTCTTGGTATGCTGGCTCGAGGCTGGGTGAGTGTGATGAATTACTGTGTAGATAGTAGATGAATGCTTAGCTTTTGTATTTCCTAGAGGGAAATGTTAGATTTAGATTGAGATTGAGAATCGAAAGTAAATCAAGAAGAAGACTAGGGTTTGAGGTTTGAGGTTTGAGAGAGCAAGGAATGCAGTGCTTGTCATTTGTCGTTTGGCATATCATCGCTGTCATTGCTGTCATCTGTCATCTGGCTTTTGAAGTATAAACGGTGGGAGGTTCTGGGTTGGTGCACTCTAGACTCTCGAGGAGGAAAGGATGAGTGTATTGGATATATGATGATGATGATGATGGATGGATGGAGAGAAGGTTTCATAAATATGGAGGGAGGGGTCTTCCTTGCCAGGGTGTATCGGAGGTTATACTTGCTATCGGGATTCGGAACCGAGGGCAGAAGAATACAGTACCGGTATGTCAACATGAATAGTTGCATTGTGTAGAGGTAGGTAGTGAAATAATCGTTGCTTTTGTGGTTATGTTGACCGACCTAGATTAGATACATGTATCGTATTATTTCGACGGAGAAAAGGTGTGTTGATTTGATTCTCCGTGCGGAGTACAGAGTTCTAGAATGTGTACTCACCTAGGTACTGGTAAAATTCAAATATATTAATTTGCAAGATTTCATACAGAGTAGTTCGTATTGCATTGGGATTGGGATAATGAGATGGGTGGTGGATATAGATATGGATAGGTATATCATGTGTGAATACGGATATGATATCGTCGACAAGGAATAAAACTCATCTTGCTGAAACATGTTGGCAGGGCCGTGGTATAGATTTCCCTGACTTTACGGGTTGAGGGTTCGAAATGATATTCCTGGATAAGTTTAGATGTTACTGTTTGTTTGTTTACGGTGTGTGTTGCCTTTTGGGGAATGTATTGCAGCTGCTGCTTGCTGCATGTCAATTTCTAGCAAGGGAATTTAGTGTACGATGGATGATGTATTATAGAGGTTTGGGAAGCAGTAATGTCTTCTTTTGCTTCTGGTGTTTTGTACATTGATAGCACAGATTAATGAGATGATCTCATAGGAGTTACGGGCTGACCCGTTTGACTGGATTACAAATACATAATCGCAGTGAGGCTTACACCGTACAGAGCGAAAGGATTTTGGCGATGCGATGCTACTATGTATCAGCAATCAGTCGTTTGTTTTGTCTGGTGACTTGTGAGTTTGTAGGGATTTCTAATTTTCTGTGAAGGGGGCAGAGGAAGAGGCGATGAGGATTTTCGTATGCGGTTGTACATGATGGTTTTTGGAGGAGGAAACACTTTCATGCGTGATTGCGAAATTGTAGAGATTGGCGTGCAGTATTGGTGATCTATATTTTGAGTATTAATGTATGCGCGAGAAGATTATGATCTCCTAAAGTTAAAGCTAATTGTTGGTACGATACTAACGTTATGGACATCGTAAGGACGATGGACCGACCTGTTCACCATCTGAATGATTATCACGACGATTTATTGCATCATCAACTTTTGACTTCTAGACTCTAGATCTTTTCTTCGACAGATGTACAGATGACCGACAAGGCTATGTAGAGGCTCATCCTACGGATAACCTTCTCTGGCCTCCATCGCGATATTCCCACGAAATCCTAGAGGATACTCTTGGCGCTGAGAGAGATGCTGTACTGATTTAATATGTCAACCTGTAATCTTTAAAGAATGCAAGGGACCCTTCGGGATATTTAATCCTCATCATCGCCAAGCTGTTAATCCACCAACAGTAGGGCCAGCATGAGCTAATCTCATAGGATACCATTCTTTCGCAGAATAATATCGCTGGGACACAATCATGTATTGTGCCTCTCTACTTGAAGAATTGAATATCCACTCGGAGAGCTTAATAAGAAAGTTCTTACTACGAAGGTTACTTATTCTTCCTTCTCAGCTACACACTCTATCTAGATGCATACTTTTTTGTTTGACTGCTAACTCCCTTAATTTTCGGTACCGAACCCCTGTTATGAGCACGTCCTTCTCTTCCCCTTTCGCTTCTGCATATATTTATGAATGTCTGAAACGATGAACGCAACGCAAATCTCCACATCTACTTGATCAGATTATACCCTCCGATTCACGAAGTTATTTGAGCCAATCAGTATTTGTTCTGTATGTTATGCTACTCTACCTCTTGGCTTTTACTGAGTGGTCACCAGGAAGTTTAAAGACCTTTCGCTGTTAGGTGAACACTCTAGAGGTGTGTGGTTGTGGACAACTAATATACACCTACTCCGCCACAGATAAAAGGTCTACTTGGGCACAGATGATGCAAACTTCGTCATCTGCCATGGTAGCTAATTCGAGACTATTGAAACGAACACTAGAAATAACTGCCATCCCATCCATCTTGTGTCACCACCCACCCTTCGGTACGTAAATCCATCCATCCTATCAAAGTATCACAACACTTAGGAAAATATATTACCAATTCATCTATTAATCAATATAAATCTGCATGTTGAAAATTCTTCCAATAACCGCGACATTCTGTGTATCGTGAATAACAATAGAGCACGACAATCCTGCCGAGAAATCCAACTTCCACTGAATAGTTCTCACCATTGTCATTATTTACCGTCTACTGTCTAGACATGAGACCAGCTATCGGACCCTCAACCTTCTCTCACTTATTCTGTTCACGATCGCCAGGTCGGATGCCTCAAACTTGCTACATCAAAAATACGTATGCACACCATATTCTGACCAAGACCATTCCTCTACCTTAGGAACCGTCCACATGCAGCCTAGTCGTAGACCCATACCAAGACCTGAGCATGTATCCACGACACGATTAAAGATGTGTGAATTCCAATCATCGCCCTCTTCCTACCCTTCCGTGCGCATGATATTCGCTTCAACTTTCCCCTTTTTGCAACTTTATACACTCTCCAGGCAAAAGAAAGCATATGATTCGACACCAAAAAACCTATCATCATCGACCCCATACATAAGACAAGTTACAACTACTGTACCTAAATTCAATTCTGCAAGGTCGCCAAGGCCTATCGACATAGAATTTCTGTACCTTGCAGCGGTAGCCCAACAAGAAGTGCACTGCGTCTGTTAATCCCCGTCCACACATCATCCAATCCTGAACTGTGGCAGAGGCAAACACAGCTTGCATCCTTGCTAAACTCAACACACGTAAACCCATCCATGGTTCAATTTCGTATTGAGAATTCTGAACTTTCGGGGGGGAAGTAATGAGTTTGTAAAGTTAGCTTTTTGATATATTGACTTTCGTTCCGCCCTGGTCTTCTGGCTAGTTGCAAAAGAAAAGAAAGAGTCAGAAAGAAAGAGAGAGTGATCAGATGTTGTAACTCACTCGGTACATATCTAGAGATATCTCTCATCTTCGTCTTCTTCTCTGAAGTTACTGTTTGCTGGTTATATCTAGAATTAGATTCTACTTTCGTTATTCAATCCCTCGATTTCCATTCGACTACGTTGTCTAGAAGGTCGTCTTATTTTTACTAGGTATTACTACCTCTACACTACACATACCGTTGCCCGCTACCCTACCAATACATCTTTCTTATATTTTCTATTCGAAGCGCCTAGGATTAATAAATCAAATTCATTTATTTTTCCCCGCGGTGCATATTCAAGAGGAAAGGTATGTATCCATCTATCCATCCATTTCATTAGGAATAGCATTCCGAGAAAAAGCCAAGCCTTAAAACATTTTTATTCATTTCCAATTTCCTTCCCACCCACCTCCACAAATTTGACTTCTCTAGATTTCTTATTTTCAGCTTTTACCTTTTACACAAACATCTTTTCTTCATCGACGTCTGGATAACGCCTTTTTTGAACATTTTGGTGTTCATTTACATTCCTTCAACCCACCTTACCTTCCTTCTATTTGTCGATATTTCGACATACTCTCGACGATCGATTCTTATTTGTCTTGAATCTGGTTATTCACGGAATCTATCGCCTACTCCGCTCGCTCATTCACTTACGAAATATCTAACGACGCAAGATCGTCTACGACAAACAAAGTCACCTCTCGATATTCCAATTTTACATCTCGGGCTGGTCTGGGTTGAATGTCAAATCTTGTTTATCGATCGCTCTTCATATACTTTATTAGGCCGATCTGAAGACTCCAAATACAACGTCTAGATCTGTTAGATATTCTTCACAATTATGTTTTCCTCTTCGATATTTGTGGCTGTTCTCGCCATGGTCGAAATAGTGGCTGGTGAAGCACCATCTGGAAGTTCTTCAACAACAGCTACCACACCCGCTGCACAGGCTGCTGCCGCCGCTGCAAAGGCTCTCAAAGTCAAAGCGGCAATGTTCAACCAGGATTTTTATGATTACATTTTTATTGTTCTTGCGGCTTTGATCGGGGGTATGATTGTGTGGAGAGTGGTCATGGAGTCTGTCAAATATATTCGAACCATGGCATCACTCAACAACGAAACGCAAAGATATTTCGCCATTCCCTCTTCCGGGTTTGCGAAATTCAAGAAACATGTTCTGTATGCTCCTGTCTTGAGCAAGAGACATAATAGAGAAATCCAAATGGGGAGAGCTATTAACGTCGGTACTCTGCCTACTAGATTTCAACTCGCCTTTCTCCTGGCTTATTTCGGAACCAACATTGCTTTCTGTGTTGTTAGCATTACCTGGGATCAGTCATATGCTACCGTAGCCCAGCAAATTAGGAATAGAACTGGTATTCTTGCCGTTGTCAATATGGTAGGTTTGAAGAATGATGGGTTGATATATCCATCACGTGCTAATTATCTTTTAGATTCCCCTCTTCATTATGGCTGCCCGAAATAACCCTTTGATCAACTGGCTCAACTGTTCTTTTGATACTTTCAACCTTTTGCACAGATGGACTGGAAGAATCGTAACTCTCCAGATGATTGCCCATGTTGCTGCTTGGGCTGCTGCCAAGGTTCATACCTCTGGTTGGTCTGCCGTTTGGGCGTCGATTGGCAAGAGTTCCATGCTCACGTATGGGGCTATCGTAAGTTCTCTGTGAAATCAAAAACTATTAAAACTTGTACTAAGAACTTGTAGGCCACAATCGCCGCCGTTGTAATCATGATCCAGGCTAGCTCGCCTATTCGCCATGCCGCATATGAGATCTTCAAATATCTTCACATCGCACTGGTCATCGTTGTCATCATTGGCATCTATTACCACTTGAAGTTGGCTGACCTCCCACAATTACCACTTTTCTGGGGAGCCATTATCCTTTGGGTTACTGAACGCGTCTACAGATTACTTACAGTTGCGTACCGAAACTTCGGCAAGGGTGGATCTAGAACGTTGGTAGAAGCTCTTCCAGGGAATGCCGTTCGTGTTACCGTTGATATGGCACGACCATGGAAATTCAAGCCCGGTCAACACGCTTATCTTTACATGCCATCTGTCGGACTGTTCCAATCTCACCCTTTCTCTGTCGCTTGGTCGGAAGAAGCAGAAGATTTATCAGATGAGAAATTAGCCATGAACCGTCAAGATATCCTCGCTATGCAAAAGACAAGCATGTCCTTTGTCATTCGAGCTCGAACCGGGTTTACTGAAAAGCTCTTCAAGAAAGCCGAGGCTTCCCCAGATGGAAAACTCTATACCAAGTGTTGGGCTGAAGGTCCATACGGAGGAATGCATATGATGCACTCTTACGGCACAGTCATGTTATTTGCCGGAGGAGTCGGTATCACTCATCAAGTTCCACACGTAAGAGATCTCGTTGCCGGCTACGCAAATGGAACTGTCGCAGCCCGAAAAATCATTCTCGTCTGGACTATTCAATCACCAGAACATCTCGAATGGATTAGACCATGGATGACTTCCATTCTCGCAATGGATAAACGTCGCGAAGTCTTGAGAATTATGTTATTCGTCAGTAGACCAAGATCGACAAAGGAAATTCATAGCCCGTCGGCTACCGTACAGATGTTCCCTGGTAGACCGAATATCGAGACTCTGTTGGAAATCGAAATGGAAAATCAAGTGGGAGCGATGGGAGTATCGGTGTGTGGAAGTGGTGCGTTGAGTGATGATGTGAGGAGCGCAGTGAGGAAACATCAGTATAACGGAAATATTGATTTTGTAGAAGAAGCTTTCTCCTGGTAGGAGGGAGTATGGGTGCATTTTGGAAACGAAAGGGGATCTTTATTCTTTGTATATTTTAGCTTAGAGGGTTGACGAAAGAGCCGTGGGTTGAAATCGACAAATTTGATTTGGCTGGATATTGGGATCAAGGTTCTGATGAGTTTGTGTAGCTAGTGAGCGTAGTTGCAATGCACATATGATTAGACGAATTGTAGTTCGTATCTCATTGGAACCTTTATGCTGTGATGTTCTGAATAACTGTATAGAAAGAAATCTCGAGAAACTGGTGGAGAGTTCTGTTGGAGAACTGGATTGTTGACTAGAATTAATGTATTGTTCATCTCTCGATCCTTTACTTTGTTATGAGTCTTGGAAATTTAAGGTTGCAACCCCTCTTGCTAGTCTAATCGTCGCTCAGGATACGAGGAGTGTAGCGAGGAAACCTCTAGATGCTTTAAATATGCATGTAATAAATAACTGTTTATACAAAAGCCAATTTATAATTAAGTAATTCCCAAATTACTCATTGTTAATCAAGCATCCATCAAAGAACGGCATTAGCTCCTGCATCTCTATTTTAACAACTCAAAGGTCATTTGATCGATTGATTCCCCAATTCATCCTTCCACCCATCCACTTATCTCCCTTGACTCCTCACACTAATAAACGATAAATCCCGCGATCCCACCCACTGGCACCGCCATTCGGATAAGACGATAAGAGACGATAAAGCCTTTTGACGACAAACAGATAAACAAACATCTCATTATCGCCATTTGACTTGTCCATCTCACCTCTTCCGCGGCGAATACCTACATACCTATCAAGTTACATACCTTACCTCTTCTCCTCTGAGATTATATCTGAATATCAAAATCTGGAAACTCAAGATCAGCAGTTGCACACAAGTTAAACCACCTGACGTAACTTCCTACCAAACAGGTAAGACGAGAGAGACAACAAAGCCTGACGGGACCCGACCGCTTTGGAAACCTCTAGATAAAATACAAATACAAATACGATTTCTATCTGTGTTTACTTCCCCTTTTACATCTATTGATTGTTTGCATCTCACATCTGACACCTCACATCCTCATCCTACGATATTCGTCGCTCGCGGAGAAGAAGTCCTTACCTACCTACCTACCTACCTACCTAGGTATCTACATACTCTCGAAATCTGGACAATATCTCCATCTTCTTCTTCTTCTTCTCCTCCTCCTCGTTTTGACGAACCTCCCTCTTTCTCTTCCCCACGAACTCTCTGCGAATCAGAAAGCAAGACAGAAGAAAATACCTCAAGAAGAAGAAAGATACCTAGCAGACGACATCATGGGTCTTTCATATAACACATACCTAACCAGTAATAAAATATACGGCTGCAAGAGCTGCAAGACGCATTTGAGTACGCACGAGGAGATTATTTCACGGGTGTGTTTTCTTCTTCTTCTTCTTCTTCTTCTTCTCGTTGTATTTCCTATGCATTTCTTTATCAGTATAGCTATCAATATATCTACACTCATACTCCTTCCCCGCACATCCGCATAGTTCAAATCCCAATTTTCACAGCATATTCGAGCTCCCTCTCCCCCCAATATCCTAACTAACTAACCCCTCCCAGAATTTCCGCGGCCAACACGGAAAAGCCTATCTCTTCGGCACCGTCGTCAATATCCTCCCAGGCGACCCCTCCGAAAGAAATATGACGACTGGCCGGCACATCGTCAGAGATATAACCTGTAAGCGCTGTAACGAGTGTGTGGGTTGGAAATACGATAAGGCGTATGAGGCGAGCGAGAAATACAAGGAGGGAAAATATATTCTGGAGGCGGAGTTGTTGTGTAATGTTTGTTAGGGGAGGGATTGAAGTTGCAGGAGGGGGGAGATACTAGAGAATGAAGGGAAACGGAAAGGGACAGGGAGATGGAAACAAGGAGTCTGGCATCAGCATTTCTTTTATTCTTACTTTTACTTTTATACACGCACGATCGACCACAGCGACTACATGTCCGGAGTTTAGAATCTCGAGAGCGGGATAATCTTATGCGATTGGGTTGGGAGTCTGCGTTACAGATGAGAAGGTGTTTTTTTGATTTCCTTTCTTTTTTTTTTTGCACGGGAGAATATTAATGGGGGTTTTATTTGGGAGGAAGGAAGGATGGATGGGAATGGCGATCTGGATGTGGATTTAGTTATGGATATGGATATGGATACGGTATTAGGAGGCGTGTAATTTTCCTGAAAGAACTGCTTTGGTCGTTACTTGAGATACGTACAGAATATTTATACAATGATCTAATCTGATTTTATTTGGTTCAATATGATATGATTATTTGGGGATGTATTTTGGGTGCTAGGTTTTGGATACGGCTATTTGTGCTATTTGTGATGGTACCTGCAGATTTGGCAGAGGAGTAAAGATAACTAGGGTAGATCATGGCGAAGATATTCCGTTACACACGCAGGCTCGCGTTTGAGGATTCATAGCGGAGAGATCTTGTCCTTGAGCTTATAAAAGACTAGGTGTGTGATGTAATGAGCCTGTTGAAAGCGTTTCCACTGGTTGCATAGTAGTGCCAGTATATCCATCCATATTTGAGAATTAGGTCCCTCCCTTCAATATGCGATACCCGGTCTACTTACTCTAAAACCCAGTGGAATGAATCAAGCATCCGCAGCTCAGGCAGTTTTTAGAGGGTTTTGACCACAACGGTATCATCTCCTCAGTCATGAATCATATTCTTCTTTCAATGGCTTCCACGTAGTGTCTCCTCAATGTATATTTTTATATGATATAATAATCTCGGAAGGGTTGACCGGGCCGAATTTCGAAGAAGTTTATGTTCCAGATATACCACCAAACATCCTAGCGTTGGATTTGTTCGTGATTGAGGCATCTTGTTCGCAAGCGGAGTGCTCATATCTACAACAAATATGGCGTTCATGAATTGAGTTTCCGAGACTTTGGCCGAGTTGTCGGAAAATTCCTGCATATCAAAAGCTGTAAGGCAGCTCTGTACTCCTTATTCCATAATAGCTGACCATTCGAGATTTTCAGGTATTTGAATGACTCCTAGAAAAGTAATCCACTCAAAACCCCTTCAATTCTGTCGAGGCTTCACAATTCCATCATGCATGATATAATACACAATCGTACTATCATCATGCACCGTCGCCAAAAGTATCCTCTTCTGTCTATTTTCTCCCTGCCATTTCCCTCCCACAATCTCCTTGCCATCCTCTTCAGCATCTTCCCTTCCCTCGGCTCCAGAACCAGGAGGCACAGTCCCCACCGCGTCAAACACCTCCGCAAAGCGTGCTAAACTCCATTTTTCTTCCAAATGCGTAGGCAAGACCCATTCACGCTCGGGAAATTGCGCAATGGTTTCTCCGGAGGAATGCTCGGCTTTGAGGATGGCGACTTGCTCGTCGGGGTGGATGTACGCGCGTCGAGGAGGTAATCCGGAGATGAGAGGACGAGGAAGAGAGCGTGATGTTAGGGGGGAGTGTGTGTGGATTTTTAGGGAGGTCCAATCGTGTTGGAGTTGCAGATTTTGGAGAATGGTAGTTGCGAGATGGTGGAGGTAGGCGGGGTGGGTGGTTTCGAGGGTGGTGGGTGTTTGGGTGTTGAGGAGATTCTGCAGGGCGGAATTGGGTGGGAGGGAGGTGATTGGAGAAGTGGTGGAGGGCATTTTGAATGAATGGAGTTCAGTTCGGTTCGATCAATAAAGATTGAAGAAGTGTGTTCAGAGACTCATTCGCTATGTTATATTTTGCGACAATGAATGACTTTTTCTTATCACAAATTTGTAGATATCTAATTCTTTCGCGGGGCTGAACGAAATTTAGGTGGGGGAACCTTTGTCGTTTAAGGAAGGCGGTCTGTGATATTTTATCAGCCTTATGCAAGGCTAAGATCTTAAACTTCTAGATCTTGTTATTGTTCCCTCCGTCGAAATAAAAAAAGTGACATGCTTTTCTATCCAAACATTTATTCAATGCTACCTTTTCTTTTCCCACGGTGGTACATCTAAGCACTTACGCTAACCTTTAAGTTTCTATTTTAATCATTTCCGACTCCTCAAGAAGATGTATTTCTTGAATACTTGAAAGAGAAATACAGACTAACTAGCTGAGGTTGCGCTTGATAACCACAAAAGTCAATAAACCTTGGATGAAAAACGAAGATTTAATCGAGCCTGTGAGAGACTTCGATATCTTTAGGATTTCCGATAAAATGTCTGGTTATCCTCACGACATGTCACCGGCCTATGCTTTCACTGGCCCAGGTCACCAATATCCGGATCCAGAAGCAAGCCAGAGCCAGAATTTAATATGGCCTACTCATGCTGTAACCCCAGCGCAAGGCACTGGTGCTCTTAGTTTGGACAATGCAAGGGCCGAATTTGCTGCAGCAAGTACGGAGCAGAGAAATCAGAGACGAGAGCAGGTGGAGGGCGTGGATGATATTCTAGATATGGATTTTGGGTAAGTTTACTTTGGAGGGAGAGCATATGTTGGAAATTTGTTTGACATTGGTCTAGGGGTGATTCGGATGACTCTGATCCCGATTATCGGGAATTCGGTAAAGGAATTCGCAAGATGCAAAATGATGTGCGCCAAGCTAGACACTTAGACAGTGATGATGACTCCGATGAGGCTCCCACTGGTCGAAAGAAAGGCAAAAAGCGCGGTGCCAAAAGCGGCAGAGGTCGCAAACCGGGCATCAGAGGTCCACGGAAAGCAGCGGAGCCAACTGGTGATATCAAATTACGGTTAGGTCAAGCCAATCATGCATTCTTGAATGGGCGTTGTGAAGAAGCTAGAGATATAGCTGCCGAAATTGTTCGAATTAATGCAGAGACTTACGAAGCATGGACTTTACTATCCGCTTGCTTCAAGGAATTGGGCGAATACAACTCGGCTGTCAAGGCTCTGATGGTTGCTGCGACTTGGAGGCCGAAGCATCCTGGTGCTTGGTATGCTGCCTTGAATTTCGCTTTGAATGAGACTGGCGATCTAAGATCAGAGTTTCTTATCTCTGCTCAATACGCTGCTCAACAAATTCTCAGAGCAGATTCACAAGATCTGGAGGCTCGAAAAATCAAAGCTTCTCTCATGCTTGAGCGAAGAAATCTTAGCCACGCGGCCAAAGAATATGAGATTATTCTCAAACGTTGCCCATATGATACAGAAATTATTCAAACACTAGCGTCGATTTACGTTGATCGAGGGCAGGTAGAAGTTGCCATGAAACTTTACACAAGAACCCTCGATAAATTCAAGAAAGCCGATGTAGAAATTGACACACCCTTTGGTTGGACAGATGCCTATGCATACGCCGAACTTTTTGGGCTCATGGAAAAATATACTGAAGGTATCAAGGAGCTCAGGTCGGTAGCTCGTTGGTTAGTCGGAAGAAGTGAAGAGGAATTTTGGGACAAATTCGTTGACGATGATCGAGAGTGGGACGATGATCATGTTAGAAGATCTGAGTGTTCCCAATTTGATGCCAAAACATTCCCATTAGACACATATGGTCCAGGCTTGCCCGTCGAGCTACGAGTCAAACTCGGACTATACCGATTATTCCTCGGTCATTATACAGAGGCTATGGTAACCAGCACATTCTCCCCAATTTGAAATTGTTTCTAACATATCCAGCGTCATTTTACTTATCTTAAAACCTCTGACTATAACGGCCAAAGTCTTGTTGAAGAATTTCCTCATCTCTTTGAGGAAGTCGCTGATACTTTGGCCGAAAAGGGTTATAATAAGGATGCTTTAGATTATTATTTACCATTGGCACCAGGCGTTGGTTCTGAAGGTGCTTCGCTGCAATTTAAGATGGGTAAGTGTTGGCTTGGTGAAAAGTCTGATCAAGAGGCCGAACTCTGTTTTCAAAACGCAGTACAGATGGAGGCGGACAACATTCCAGCTAGGATGGAGCTCGCTAAACTTTACGAGAGACTAAACGAAAAGGACCAGTCTTTCATGTATGTGAATGAAATCATAGCAATTCGACGAACACAACGTCAAAATGAGAACCCATCATTTGGAACAGAATCCTCCGACCCTGCACCTTCTAAGAAGACACGTAGAAAACATGCGTCATTCCCTGGCATTCGGAGAGGAACATCTCGCTATGCGCCACGCAGGCTCCTTAATCCAGCAGAAAGGAAGAAGGAAGAGGCCGCTAGAGCGGAACATCTACAGAACCAATACTCTATCATGAAGGCAGAACTTGAACAGATGAGAGCTGGAGATCCAACGGCAACCTACAAGTGGATGGAGGCTGCTGAAGATCTTATTGATGATTTTCGAGCTTTCAAGACATTCTATCCTTGGGATAAATATGTCAAATTCCTGGGTTATACTCACGATGATAAATTTCAAGCAGAGACAAAACTGGAGACTGATTTGACGGAGATGGCTGATCGATTATCAAAAAGTTAGTAAACACTTCCTAATACCTGATTTTACCTATAAAAAAATTACTGACTCTTTTAGAACTCGGTGCCGATGCTGAGGACCGAACTAGTGCTACATCTGCCAGTGTTCCAGCTGATTATCGGGGCATCTCGTTCAGTTCCTGGATAGATATATTTCTCGAGTACGCAATATGCCTCGCGAAGGATGGGCATGATCGAGAGTCATATGAGATTTGCGAGTCTGCTAGGGACGCCATTGTATTCTATCATAAGCGCGAGGACATGTTCTTGATCCATGTATGCTGGGGCAGTAAGTTGATAGATTCTTGAGAAGCTAACATTTTACTAATTTTTATACAGCTTGTGCTTTGCTCTGTAATGACGAGGAAATGTGTATCAGAGTGGCAAGATATTTCATGAGAGAATATCAATTTACCACAGATTCCTACCGAATGTACGCAGCCATAGCGAGGTTGTGTCAATCTCCAGTCTCGTGGTATTGTTCAGGTCCCGAACAAAAGTATATGCTTCGACAAGTCAAAGCCATGGACTTCAATCTCGTCGATAAAGCTCGTCGTCAAAGAGGCTATGCAGAGAAAGCTGGCTACACTTCGCAGGACCAGGACGGAAAGCCAATTCTTAACGATGATATGGACGTCGCTCTCCTAATGTTGTACGGCCACATCCTTTACTCGGGAACAAGTTATGCCTACTCTCTAAGTACTTCAACCCAGATTGGTATTTTGGACAGATCATTTTGCTAACGAAATAAATCGTAGACTATTTCCTGAGAGCTTATGCACTTGATCCAAATAATGCTATCATAAATCTGAACATAGGCCTTGCTTATGTTCATCACTCGCTCAAGAGACAAGCAGATAATAGGCAA